ACGCACAACAACGACAAACGAGAACACAACACCGACGCTACGACGAGCCTCGCCTAACTGGCTTTCTTGACGTCTGTGCCCAGATCCAGCGTCTGCCACTCGTCATCGTCGTCCTGCGCCCACACCTCGTTGTCCCAGCCGTCGTTGTCCCCGCCCCGCGACCTTGAGCCCGCCGAGCTGCCCTCCTCCTCCCCCAGGTCCAAGAGATTGCCCACCAGCGGCTGCTTCTGCTTGGACGAGGTGCCAGACAGTCCAGAGTTCCAATCCGCGTCATCCCAGCCGTCAGATGATGAGACCGCTGTCGAGGATTTCTGAGACTTCTTTTTCGACTTGGAGGAGAGCGAGGAGGAAGACGAGGAAGATTTGGCCGAAGTCTTGGAGGAGGAGTCTGTCTTCCAGCTGTTCCAGTCATCATCGTTTTTCTTCTTGTTCTTCGACTTGGCGGCCGGGGAGAGGCCCGAAGTGTCGTCATCGTTCAGCCACGCCTCCAGGTCGTCTTCGTTACCGGCGGACCAATCAGAGCTATTCTTTTTGCTGGGCTTTTTGGAGGAGGAGGACCAATCCGAGTCTTGTCCCCAGTCGCCCCAGGACTCGTCCTCGTCTCCCAGCAGGTGGCTCTTGGAGGAGTCACTGGGGACGGAAAAACACACAGCGTTTTGGGGTTTTTTCATAAGAGTTTTTAGTTTTAGTAGGGGTTTTACCGCGCTCCCAACTGCATAAGGTCATATGAGTGCCAGAAGATTAGAGGTGTTACAAGAGAGTAACAAACATTTTTAAAAAAGAAGGGGGAGATAAGGACGATAGATGTTTGATAGGAAAGAAGAAGCAAACCACACCAGAGCACCCGCCAACCACCCACATAAGAGTGTTACGGCACTTGCAATACAATAAGGTCATATAAGAGCCAAAGATTAGAAGTGTTACAAGAGAGTAACAAACACAAAAAAGGAGGCGAGATAAAGATGATAGATGTTTGACAAGAAAGGAGCAAACCACACCAGAGAACCTGCCAACCACCCACACACAGAACATGGGAATGTGTGTGGGGACCAGCTAAGAAGGCAGCATAGAGGATTATATAATTATAACACTGTAGGGTTTTTTTAAATAAAGGAGCTTTTTTCTTTGTTTTAGTACGAGTTTTACAGTAACAGCAACACAATATTAGGTCATATGGTCGCCTTTAAGCACAAGGGGGCTATCCCAAAAAATGCTGTTTTGAGAAAATCTAAGGTAAAGTTTTTGCCCCTAGTGCAGTTTCTTTGAAAGATAAGGAGAGTTTTCTCTATAACTAAACAAAAATACACACCAATGAAATCAAACTTCTACAGGTACGGCAATGCCTACTTTTGGTGTAGGTCAAGATTTCAAGAAACCCCCGAAATCTGGGTTAGCTGGTTTGCCCTTAAAAGCGACCATATATGTGTCGAAGATTGGAGGTGTTACTAAAGAGTAACACAAAGAAAAGGAGGAGGAGGGATAGTTTTTTTAGTTTTAGTCAGAGTTTTACTGCATCTTGCAGCACAATAAGGTTATAAAAGTATCGAAGATTAGAGGAGTTACAAGAGAGTAACAAACACAAAAGAGGAGGAGAGATAAAGGACGTTAGAGGTTTGACAGGAAAGAAGAAGCAAACCACACCAGAACACCCACCAACCACCCACCGGAGGAGAGATAAAGGGGATAGATATACAATAGGAAGGAAATAATAAACTATATCACAGCAACTGACAACTACCCACCAAAAAGAAGGTTCATACATGACACAAAATGACATATCACAGACACGTAATGGTATACTAATTTGACAGGGTCCAATCACATGATGGACACTGGCACAACCCCCCGCCCCCCCTCCCCCACCCCAAATACAACAAATTTTAAAAAATCAAAACAAAACCAGCAGACCAAGCACCCATGCAACAACTTACTCTCCACTGCCGTAGGATGAGCGCCCGAGCAGCGAGGACTTCTCTCCGGGGCTGGTGTCAGCTGAGGTCAAGGTCGTCTTGGGCTCTCCCCACAGAGACTGTAAGTCCTTCCATCCTTTGGTGCCAGCAGCTGAGAGCTGAACACGTTGTTGGTGGTTCGGGGGGGGGATGAGATTCGATTTTTAGTAAAAATGAAGCACATTCGTTACAAAAATCTCATGAAGAAAAAAAAAAATTTCCAAAAAAGAAAGAAGCACATTGAAACGCTAATGATCATTTGACAGCTTCATGATCCAGGGTCAGTTTAATTTGAGCTTCACCAAGCACAGTTTTGGTACCCCAGGATAAAGGGTAGTGCTAAATTTAGTGGGCGACTGCCTATAATTAGATCCGGTTTGTAAATACGACAAAGCAAAAGATAGCTTCCTTCGTACTGAAAAGGCATTGCTGAATTCAAATCTGCAATTAGTTTTATGAAGTATGTCGAGCATTAACAGTAAGCAGAATACAGGATATGACAACAAATGACAGCACCTGTCATTGTGGTCGCGTGCATTTTGGGTTTTTTTAAAAGTAGAGTTTTTACAGCGCTCACAACTAGCGCCAAGGGGTGGATGTCAACAAAGAAGTCTAAAAGGGGAATCAGGCCTACTCTGCTCACCTCTCTAGCTTCAACAGCACAAGTCTACTTCAACTATTAAGGCACCTCAGAAATAGCAGTTCACAGGACAGAGACAAACATACAAAAGAAGTAGAGGAAAATGACGAGAGT